TCTCGGCAGTGTCCTTTGTATCACAGAAGTGTTTGATTTTTTTTCTCCTGTCCCCCTCCAACCCAGTCTCAGAACAGAACTGTTTAATTTGGATGAAGCCCAATTTATCTTTTTTTTTTTTTTTTGTTGTTGCTTGTATTATTGGTATCACAGCTAAGAAACCATTGCCTCATCCAAGGTCACAAAGATTTATGCTTATGTTTTTTATAGTTTTTAAACTATAAAAGAGTTTTATAGTTTTATACTTTTGACTCTTACATTTAGGTTTATGATGCATTTTCAGTTAATTTTTGTATATGGTGTGAGATAGGGGGGATCCAACATCATTCTTTGGCATGCAGCTGTCTAGTTGCCCCAGCACCATTTGTTGAAGAGATTATTCTTTCTCCACTGAATGGCTTGTCACTCTTGTCAAAAATCAGTTGACTCTAGTTGTATGGGTTTCTTTCTGGGCTCTCAATTAGATTCCATTGATCTATATGCCTGTCTTTTGTGCCAGTATTACACAGTCTTGATTCCTGTAGTTTATTTATTTATTTATTTATTTATTTATTTATTTATTTATTTTTTAAGTAGACTTCATGCTCAACATGGAACCCAACGAGGGGCTTGAACTCATGACCCTGAGATCATGACCTGAGCCAAAATCAAGAGCCAGACGCTTAACTGACTGAGTTACCCAGGTACCCCAACACACTTACTGATTTTAAAACTTACCATAAAGCTATAGGTATCAAGGGGCACACCTCGGTGGCTCAGTCAGTTAAGTGTCTGACTCGATCTTGGCTCAGGCTTTGATTTCAGGGTTTGTGAGATTGAGCCCCATGTCAGGGTCTGTGCTGATGGTGCAGGGCCTGCTTGGGATTCTCTCTCTCCCTCTCTCTCTGCCCCCACCGTCATCAAAAATAAATAAATAAATAAATAAATATTTAAAATCAGTAAGTGTGAATCCTCCAAATTTGTTCCTTTTAAAGACTGTTTTAGCTATTCTGGGTCCTTTGGGTTCCCATATAAATTTTAGGACCGGCTTGTCAATTCTGCAAAAAAAAAAAAAAGCAGCTGGAATTTTGATACGGATAGTATTGAATTTGTAGATCAATTTGGAAAGTACTGCCATTTTAACAATAGGTCTTTTGACCCATGGACATGAGGTATCTTTTTTATTTATTTGATGCCATTGTAAATAGAACTGTTAATTTCATTCCAGATTGGTTGTTGATAATGTACAGAAATACAGTTGGTTGGTATATATTGATTTAGAATTTTGCAATTTTGCTGAACTTGTTTATTCACTCTAATAGGTTGGTTTTTGTTTGTTTGTTTGGTTTTTGTGGATTCCTTCAGATTTCCTCTATACAAGATTGTATCATTTGTGAATAGAGAGTTTTACCTTTCCCTTTTCAGTCCAGATGCACTATTACCATTTCCTTCGCTTGACTTCTCCCTAACATTGTAACTCTTCTGAAAGTTGCCTCCATATCAGTAGACAGATGATTTCCGCAGCTATTTTTTCATTTAGCGATTTAGACCTTCTCTATTGACTGCCTGCCATGAGGGTTTGACTTCCTTTCCCATTAAACAAATAGCAGAGACACAAAGTGTGGACCCAAGGCAACGGACTCAGGCGTGCTCGGAGCGGCCCTGCCCAATGGATGGGCCTGGGCTCCCAAACCGACTTGGCTGGTCATCGGCTCCCTTCACACATTCCCTTCCACAGGAACCAGAACAAACACTGGACCGCCTCTAGCCGACCAAAGGTGGCTTCCTGTTTCAGAGTGGCATGTTCATTAACTAGGCTCATCCAATCAGATTCTCCCTCTGGACTTTGAGCCTGGAGACAGGGTTCGTCAAATGATGGTGTACACGTGAGTGAAAATCTGGGTTGTTCTGGTCCCATGGCCAAAGATATGGGAGTGAGGAAGCCAGAGGGAGAGTGAGGAGGGCAGTGGTTCTGGCCCCCAGCACAGGAAAGGCTTGCTGGGCAGTGACCCTGAGAGGGTCTGGCGGCTACACTGAGAGGGCTACAGTAAGGGGCACGGGCATAATGACACAGTCAGTACACGGGACAGAGGCGCTGGCCAGGATGGCAAAACTGGTAAGGACTTCACTTTCCAACCTCAATGGGGGACATTTGGCATAACAAGGAAAGTGCTGCGCCAGGAGCTCAAAGCCCTACCTCTGGAATGGCATCCGTGTGCTGGGTGACCTTGAGAAACCACCTGACCTTGGACCTGATTTCTTCATTTGCACTCTTTTCATCTGTTCTGCTTCTAAAGGACCTGGGATGAATTATGCCTCCTCATACTTCTGGAGGCCAGACATGCGAAATAAAGGTGTCTGCCAGGGCTGTGCTCTCTCTGGAGGCACTAGGAGGGGATCCTTCCGTGTCTCCCGGCTTCTGGTGGTTCCAGGCATCCCTTGACTTGTGGCCACATTGCTCTGGTCCCTGTCTCTGTTTTCAAGTGGCCTATGGGTTGAGGAGATCACCCATGAGATGGACTTGGGTCAAGATGTCCTGTCAACTTTCACTCTGGCTGGTGGGCCTCGGGTATGCAGCATTAGAGGCAGGAGTGTACCACTAGCACCCCGAGACCTGGGTGATCCCCCACCTCCAACAATCCGCTCCAGCTTTCCTCACTAAGGGGCCTCGCGTATCAGAGTCTTGTGTGTCAGAATAGATACCGTTAGCCCCATTTCTGGGCTTTGAGGGTATGTGTTCCACCTCTGGGTCCCCCCTGCACTTCCCTGAACTCCCTGTCCTCTCCAGGGTCCCCGGGCCTTCCTGTAGCCCAGTGTCACACCCTCACCGCAGCTGCCATAGTGCTTGTCCCCGTGGCTTCTCAGCTTCTGCTTGCAGGGGTCTGTGAGTTCACTTGTCCACACAGAGCCTTAGCTCTTTGAAGAATTCCCTGGCTACCTGAACCCCTTGCGGTCCGTCGATCAGCACTGCTTTGCCCTCTGATTCTCTTTGCTGGCCAGTCTTCTGGCTCTTCTTTCTGAAACCCCTTCTCCCCGTGGGAGGATTTCGTCCTTGATGGCAGTTATCCACGGTAATGTTTTTACACAACAGCTTTATTGAGATATAATTCACATATCATAAAATTCACCCATTTAAACTGTACGATTGCAATGGTTTTTAGTATATCCACAGAGCTGTGCCATCATCACCACAATCTAATTCCGGAACGTGTTGATCACTTCCCCGAAGAAGCCCTGCCCCTATTGACAGTTACTTCAGGTGCCCCCACCCCCCACCCCCAGCCCCTGGCACCCACTGATGTACTTTTTGTCTCTGGATTTGTAGCAGCTATTTGTACGTATCTACTGCTGGAGTGGGTTTTCTAACCCTCACGCCAGGTCTCCCCACTTCTGGGGGCCAACCTGGTAGTAGATTAACCAAGAGCTGTAATCCTCCCAGTTTCCCCACTTGTAAGGAAACTTCCACCTTCTTTGGTAAAACTGAACCCTGACCTGCCAGGTAAATAGAGCTGTGTCCAGGCAGCCAGTATGGCTTTGCAGGCTCAGAGGAGGGAGGGTCCTGACCAGGCTTTGGTTTTACAAAGGTTGCTTTGTGTGGAGCACGTGAGCTGGGGGAGGAGGGCAAGGCTACTGAAGGGAGACCCTGTCTGCTTCGTCCCAGCACCAGGCGTGAGCCTGGCTCATGCAGGCGCTCAGTCAATGGGGGAGGGAGGCAGGGAGCCAGGAGAGTGGGGGCAGGAAGGAGTGCGTCATGGTCACTCTTGAGAAACAGGATTGACCGCCCCCCCCCCATTTGGTTTGGACATGGAGACGATGGCCCCACACCCACCAAGAGGTTATGAAAAGATTCCTTACTGACACATGAGGCTTTCTGGGAGAGCAGGGCAGGTCCCCAAGCTGGTCCGAAGATGACCTGAGAGGGCACGGGAAGGAGACCGTGGGCTTCTCTGTCGTGGTTGGAGCTAGAGCAGGGGCGGGGGGTCCTGGGTGTGCTTCCCACCCCCCTGTGATGCCAAGGAAGGGAGCACTCGGGCTTTGACATCCACTTGCCCCCATGTGTTGCTGGGAGGAGGCAGCCAGGAAGTGGCGCATGACCTCGGTGGGCCTAGGGTCTGAATGTGTCCCTCCTGCCAAACTCACACAGTGAACCCCGATGGTATCAGGAGCAGGGGCCGCCTCATTAGGTCACGAGGGCAGAGCCTCATGAATGGAATCAGTACCCTTATAAAAGAAACCCCAGGGAGGTGGTTTGCCCCTTCCACCACGTGAGGACACGGTGAGAGCTTGGCTTTCTGCAACCCGGAAGAGGCTCCTCGCCAGAACCCGACTGTCCTGGCACACACTGGTCTTGGACTTCCAGCCTCCAGAAATTTGAGAAAGAGACCAGCCACCTCGTCTGTGGCATTTTGCTATAGTAGCCCAAACGGGCTAAGAGAAAGATGGTGTGGGAGGGGGACAGTCTCACGCAGCAGGGCTGGATGCAGGGGGCCACGGGCAGAGCAGGCCGGAGGCCGTGGAGTCCAGGGACACTCATGGCTTCAGAGTTGCAGGGCTGAGAAGGGCAGTAGGGAAGAGGGCCGTGGATGCCCGAGGTGGACCCGGAGGAAGGCGGCTGGACTCGCTGACCGTGAGAGATTGGAGGCCCAGGGGGTGTCGGTGGAGAGGGGCGGACGTGGGGAAGAAGGGGTGACAGCGGAGTGAGGTTCTCAGGTTGCAAGAAGGTTCCAAGGACAAGTGACAGGACTGGACTTGGATGGGGCTGCTCTCCAGCCGACCACTCCCAGGGTGAAGACCACTGGGGAGGAGGTGGGCAGGGTCAGCACTTTGGAAATCATCCCTTGTGTTTGATGAAGACCACCCAGGCTTTCCAGCAGCCTTGCCTGGGCACGGCCTCTCCTCTGTACCCCGGATGCCTCCCTCCCTTCTCTGCCTCGTTCTTTGAGCTTCAGCCTGAGCCCTCCCTCCCTCATTAGGAGATAGCGCCATTGTGAGGAGGCTGCTGTGGCTGACTCAGCCTCTGATACGATTGTACACCTTACCTTTATTGGCCACCTTCTCTGTACAGGGTCTGCAGATAATCCCCGGGGCAAGGTCAGGGGATGGGTGGGTGGTGAGGGGGTGGGAAGCCACGTTTGGGAGTGGTGACAGGTGACATGGAAGGGAGGGCCGGCAAAGTGGGTGTGGCTTGATGGTGGGAGAGGAATCGCCGCCTGGAGGTTTGCTGGCTCCAACTGGTGGCTAGTGAATTATTCATTTGTCAACCACTGTGTCCAGGCTGCCTGCCAGGAGGGTGCCCCGTGACCCAGGGTTTTAAAAATTAATGTGTTCATTGAGTCATTCCCTTGACTCACATTCACAGGCACCTATTACTTGCTGAGCGGAGACTCTTCACGCCACAAAAGGCCCAGGGGAAAGGAGGAGTTCAAGCCGTGCTGTTTAACTGACAAACACGGGGGTGGGGGTGGGGATGAGGAGGTGACCGGCAGGCATTGGGCCTGGGGCCAGAGGGCAGAGTGATATGATTTGGGTGTGTGCGGGTGTATGCACAGTGCAGCCTTGCGCATAAGGGGGCTGCCCGGGAGGTGCCTGATTCGTGGGCATGATTGTATGTGAGTGTGGGGGGGGCGTGCGTGGTATGCCCTTTTAGGCTGGTGTTCTGTGTGCTCTGGGCTTCAGCCTTGGGTGGGGGACAGTCAGCTGTGACACAGTGCTCAAGGCATGACAGGGGCTAGCTGCACAGGGGGCTTGGGGCCCCGAGTCCCCCACCCACATGCACACGGGCCCACGCACACAAACACACCGCACACACAGGTACGCAGTCCGGAGGGCCTGCGCAGTGCCTCTGATGGAGCTGGGGAGCAGCGTGTGCAGCAGGAGTGCCTTCCCTTGGAGAGCATTTTTGAAGACCCTTAGGTGGGAGACGATGGCAAAAATGGTGAGAGCCAAGACTGGTAGCGTGTCAGGCGAAAACCTTGGGTGTCTCCTGAGTTGAAGGCGTCCTGGGAGATGTTAGGGAGGGCAGAGTCTGTTCAGGCTTACATTCTAGGAAGGTCACTCTGGCTGGTGGCTGGTGCTGTGGACTGAGTAGTAGCCCTCTAAGACGTGCATGTGTTTGATCCCTGGAACCTGCGATGAAGTGAAGGTTGTCAAGCGGAGAGCATCCTGGATTTCCTCAGTGGGCCCTAAATGCAAAGACACGTGTCATTATAAGAAACAGGAGAGACACAGAGACACACGGAGGAGTAGAAGGCCATGTGAGAACAGAGGCAGAGACTGAAGTGATGTGGCCACGAGCCAAGGGACACCTCGGGACACCAGCAGCTGGAAGAGGCAAGGAAAGATTTGTCACCTAGAGCCTGCTGACACCTTGATGTCACACTTGATGTCACACCAGAGCTGCTGGAGGATGAGTTCCTGTTTTTTTAAGTCCCTTACTTTGGGGTCATTTGTGAAACAACCCCAGCTGGTGTGGAGAGAAGACTGGGGGGAACTGAGGAAGGAGACAGGGCTGTCCCGGGTGCGTGAGGACGCGGGACATCAGAACTGTTGGAAGGGTCCAGTCACCCTGGCAGAAGAGCTTGGGAGCAGTGGCTTTTTCCTCTCAAAGTTCTCAAGTCTCTCAAATCATAGCAACTACCAGGCTGTGCCAGAATGACCCGGGGGGACTGAGTTGTTAGCTAGGGAGTCCCTTTGGTGCTCTATATGCCCGATGCATGATTTCCTGCCTGTGGAAGGCACATTCATTCATTTGGTAAGCTCCTAATGTGTGCCAGGCTGGGAAGGTAAGCCCAAGCCAGGTCTCTAAGCCTGTCGGGGGACATTGGTAAAGCTGATTTCAGCTTTTACCACACGGACACCGACTCACACGCTTTCTTCCGGTCGGAGCCGCCGACGTCCCAGCGAAAGCTAGCGGTAAGCACCCTTCGCCCAGGGGTTGGCAGACGCCATCAGCTTGCCCTGTCCTAAGCCACGCTAGGCCAGCAACCTGGAAGGAGACCTTAGAGGGACCGTAGGGACCGGCAGCAAGGATGCCTCTGGGTGCTCGTGACCTCGCCAAGTAGCCCAGCGGGTCCCGGCTGCACGGGTACTAGGCGTGCGGCTCCCAGGGGCGGGACACTCACCTCCCAGGGGCGGGGCGTCAGCTCTCTAGGGCGAGTCACGTAGTGTTCGGGTGACAGGGCGGGCACAAGCCAGCCTCCGGGCCGACTCGGCCTGTGCGCAGGCGCCCGCGCCTGCGCGCGTCCCGGCGGTCATTTCCCCCCCAACCGTCCCCGCCTCCGGGAGGGGGGACTGCTGGGGGACGGGCGGGTGCGGACCGGGGCGGAGCGGGCGGGGCGGGCGAGGGCCCGGGCGGGGCGGACGGGACGGGGTGGCCGCGCGGGCCGCGAGGACCCCCGGACCCGGCCGCCACGCGCGTGGGCCCCTTCTCCTTCTGGCTGGGGGGTCTGGGGCCGTGGGGCGGGGCCTCATGGAGGCCGTTGGCCCCGACAGTTGCGGAGCAGGAGACAAGGCGCGGGGTGCCGAAGGGCGGCCGGCACCCGAGGCCAGGGTGCACTTCCGAGTGACGCGGTTCATCATGGAGGCAGGTAACCGCGGCTGGGAAGCGGGCTGGCGTTCCGGGAACCCGCCTCTCGGAGAAGGGGACGCGCAGGACGCGGGGCTGGCGCGGCCGGCCTGGGGGGAAGAGGCCCGGCACAGGGGTATAGGCCCCGGCTTGCATCCGCGCCCTGCGTGCCAGGCTTTGAGCTGCAAGGCGGCCACGGTCACGGCCGTCTGCCGGACGGACGCGCAGGCGCAAAGAGAGGACGTGGAGAGGGGCTGGCCCCGGCTAGGAGGTGGCCGAGTCGGGGTGCCCGCGGCTGGGTGGCCTACCGTGTCTTCAGCCCTGTCTGCCCGCGCTTGGAGGCTTTCCGCGCGGCTGCTGGTGAGGCTCCTGACGAGCCTTGTTGGCGACGTCCCGTCACACCGGCGACCCAGGGTGCCGCTCGCGTGTTGAGCCCCGCCAGAGTGTCCACACGGCTCTTGGGCGCCGTTGCTCCTAAGCCGAGACAATGAAGTGAATGAGGCTCCTGTAGAAACATTGTTTCTCGGTCGGGCAACTTGCTCGGCTGGCAAACACTTGATTTCCGATCTTTGTTACTTGGTGTGCGCTCTGGGGGAAACAGGTTTGGGCGAGTCTGCTATCAAGTCAAGGTCAGCAGAGCCTGGGAAATGATGCAGGACAGCTAAGCCCAATGATTTTTACATTTAATTTCGAGGAAGAGTCGCACAATGTATAAAGAAGGATGGCAGTGACTGCTCATATGCTGCTGTGCCTCTGCTGGGAGGGTCCACGTGAACCGGGGAAGCCAAGCTCCCCTTTGAGGATTTGCTACATAAAACAAGATTTGGAGGGGGGAGCTTGGGTGGCTCAGTCGGTTAAGACCCCGACTGCAGCTCTGGTCATGATCACACAGTCCATGAGTTCGAGCCCCGTGTCTGGCTCTGTGCCGACAGCTCAGAGCCTGGAGCCTGCTTCGGATTCTGTGTCTCCCTCTCTCTCTGCCTCCCCCCCTCCCCACTCTCAAAAATAAATATTAAAAAATTTAAAAAATACAAGACTTGGAGGTTCATGTGCGGCTCTACCACCTTATCCGACGTCTCTCGGAGCAAGGGCTCCCATGCAAGAACTGTCTATGTAACAGGAAATTCAAATTTTGAAATGTTAAGAGCTCTTATAGGTACCACTCTCCAAGGACTTCTATATACAATGTATACAAGCCCTAGCCCTCTGTGTGAGGCTAACTACTGGTCCTCCATAGATGTCCCCAGCCTAATCCCCAGAACCTGTGACTCATATCTCATGGAGCAAAGGAGATTTGGAGGTGGAATTAAGCATCTTGATATGGGGGAACTATCCTAGATTATTCACTAGGCCCAAGATAATCACATCCATCACATCCTTAAAGTCACAGGTAAAAGTGACAGGCCGAGTCGGCCATGTAATGATGGGAGCGTAGTTAGAAGATGCTGCAGCTGGCTTTGAACATGGAAGGGGCCGCAAGCAAAGATTGCAGACACCTCTAGAAGCTGGAAAGGGCAAGGAAACATTCTCCCCTGGAGGCTCTAGAAGGAACCCACCCTGCGGACACCTTGAATTTAGTCCCCTTAAGACTCATTACAGACTTCTGACCACAAGAATTGTGAGAGAAACAATGTGTGCTGTTTGAAGCCACTTTGCAGTAATTTGCTACGGTAGCCCCGGAAACTCCTACACCTTAGATGATATTGAACGTGGTCTTAAGGATTGTTGGTTGTACTCCCCTTCTTTCATAAGTCTATTGGATGTCACTTCACCTTCTCTTGTTAACCGTGGTCATTGTGAATTTATATGGGTTCTGGGCCCCAGTGCAGTGATTTCCTTAGGAGCCCTCCAGAGGTGGGGTGGGGGATGGACTTTAACACCCAGATCAAACCAGCACGTGTTCCGGATTTTGAGTTCTCTTCCCTTTTCAGTGTGTCAGTGTTCTTCCCCAGTGCCTGTCTGTAGTCATAGGTGCTGCTATTTTTCCCTGTTCTGCCTGCAGTTGCCTTTGACTGTCACCCTGCTGGCTTTTCGCCTTTTTAAGCTTTCAGAGAAGGAAACCAGGGCTGAGTATAATCTTTAGTTGCAATATTGGGACTTTGTGGTATCTGTTTGATGCTCAGAGGCCTTTTTCACCTGCTGTCATCTTGGCCGGAGTTTGTTGTTGTTGTTGTTAGGTGAGCGGTGGGGGTGGGGGTGGGGGGGACCTCTAGTTAAATGCTTGCTAAGGTAGAAACAGACACACGGCAGGGCGTGATCCCGTCCGTGACCTTGTGCAGAAGCTGATAGGCCCAGTGCTAAGTGAGGGCTAGTCTGAGCCGTAGCGTGGGTGTCCTTGGGGTGTGCTGGTGGTAGGGGTGGAGGTGTGTAATCAGTGGGGCCACTGAGGGGATACTGCATGACAGCACCACCCCTTATTAGCCCATTGGAATCTGAGAAGCATGGCTCAGAACCCCTCAGGCCAAGGACCCAGTGAAAGACCCAGCAGCCACAGCCAGCTAGGCTCACGGGCCTTGGCTTGTCTGAGCAGGGGGTGTACAGCCTCCGGGCCCAACCCCGCGCCTCCACACACACTTCAGCAGAGGGTGGGCACTGGATTCAGGTCCTCTCCTGCGTGCTTTCTCTTGGTAGGTGTCAAGCTAGGGATGCAGTCCATTGCCATTGCCACTGCTTGTACCATTTACCATAAGTTCTTCTGCGAGATCAACCTGGACGCCTACGACCCCTACTTGGTTGCCATGTCTTCCCTTTACTTGGCCGGCAAAGTGGAGGAACAGCACCTGCGCACTCGTGACATCATCAACGTGTCCAACAGGTAATGGCTTCCAGGCCCACGCATTCGAGAGGACTCACTGGTGTCTACCCAGATGGCCCTCCAGGTGTCAGCTGTCGAGCTCAACACGAAGCACCACGGCGGTCTCGAACCGGGGCAAGAAGCACTAGCTGCAGAAGCAGGAATGAGCCTGGTGTTGGGAAGCCATGGGGGTCAGTAGGAGAGAAAGTGAGGCCAGATTAAGGGACGTCTCAAAGACCACAAAGAGTGCAGAGGACTTGGGGAAGGGGGCGGTGTCTCGGTGTCATGGACCGAGGGACATGGCTAGAGCACAGAGATCTTGGAGAGCTGTGTCAGAGAAGGTTCCTCTGGAATTGGGACAGGACGGATCAAACCAGTTGTGTCCTGTGGGACGTGCAGGGGAGGGCGTGGACTGAGTTCGGCCATTATTTTACTTAGGTGGTGTGAGAAACTGAGTCAGAGTTGCTAGTCCTATTGAGGAAGGACATGGGGATCCAGCCAGCTAGGCCGCACTGAGACCCAGGGGGCCCGGGGGGGAAGCAATTTATGGAGAGTTACTCACTAGCAGTATGGCATAACCTTTCTAGAAACTAATGATTAGGAAAGAAAACTGTTTTGTGCTGCTTCTCTTTTAATAAGCAGGGGACAGAAAAAGCGCTCCTTACCCCCTAAGCATGACAGGCTCACAGCGTGCTGCTCAAGACTAACAGGACAACAGGAGAGGGAACCAAGGGAGGGCCGCTCGAGTCTACCTGTAATTGCCAGGCCCCCAGCAGGGGGTCTGGCAGAGGGGAAATTGTGTGGATCGCTAATTAGACATGGCACCCGGGCGGGGGGGGGGGGTTCTGTGGGGAGGTTGGACAATGAATGAGGAGCTAGGAAGGCTGAGTCATTGGCACAGAGTTTTGATCACTTGGGCTTGAATCCTACGTCTTGGTGATTATGAGTGGGTGGGAGTATCGTGGATGTATATGGTGTAAATAAAGGACAGTAGGTTCTGGAAGAAAGGAAAGACAATCTGGGAAACATACAGCTGAAATACATTTGTTCTTCTGCATAAAACACCCCCATGATATATTTAAACACCTTCCCTGGGCCCAGAGTAAGAGCCCTGGGCCTTGCCACTCCAGGTGGTAAAGGCCGTTCCTGATGCCAGGCTGACTGTAACGGGAAGTGGTCGGTCCAGTGCTCTAGAGCTTCTGGTTCCTCTGAAGCAGCTGTAAAGAGCCCCTCTTTACACTGGACGTCTTCCCGAGTGGTATGGTACAGCTGGTCAGGGCTAAAGCCAGAAGCTGGCCGCTTTTGTCTGCTGGTTACTGTTTTCATACTATACCCTAGACACGCGAATGAAGGATGACTTATAAAAATATAAGTAGGAGGGGCACCCGGGTGGCTCAGTCAGTTAAGTGTCCGACTTCGGCTCAGGTCATAATCTCACAGTCCATGAGTTCAAGCCCCGCATCGGGCTCTGCTGACAGCTAGCTCAGAGCCGGGAGCCTGCTTCGGATTCTGTGTCTCCCTCTCTCTCTGTCCCTCCTCTGCTCGAGTTCAGTGATTCTCTTGAAACAAAGACGCAAGGAAACATAAGTAGGATGGGCCGAAGAACACTGCCGTTTGGATCCGGATGTCACGTGACTCGAGGGGCTCCTCATGGAAAGTTCCCTGGCTGCCGTAAACATTGCTGTCTCTCCGTGCAGGTACTTTCACCCTGGCAGTGAACCCTTGGAGCTGGACTCCCGCTTCTGGGCGCTGCGGG